AAGAATTTGTGGTGGGTGATATTGATTAGCTCTAGTCTATCAGTTCAAATTTACAAACAGCTATCCTTCAATAGCTCTGCATAAAAATCCTATAAAACAAACAGTGCTTCTCTTTTTGAACATTAGTTAGGTGTAATATAAATGCTGTAAGATGGCTTACTTAAATACATTCATTATTGTTCTGTCTTAGTTTTCTAAACCTAGTATGTTACATATATTTAATATTGTAATAAAAATCCTTCTTCAATACAACTATTTACTAAAATGATAACTGTATTCACAGACAAAAATTGATAGCATGTTCATCCTGAGTACTGACTAACACGTTATCGAACTCTTTCCTGCAGTTAAGTCTGCAAGTGTAAATATACTGCTGAGAAATTCTCTTTACTAGTATATGTACATATTTACTCTCATAAATTTGAAGTAAAAGTTTGAAAACTGGGAAAGAAACTGAGGAAGAGTGACATTAATAATAATAAGTCTACAAAATTTATTTAGAATTACTTACCTTAAAGCAAAAATTTCTCCACTTTTTTGAAAAACTTGATCTCTTGTTATTGAAATCTTCTTGCCAATCTTCATTTCCTGTTCAAAAATGTACATACACATTATCAATGTTCCTATGACAAATAAACAGGATTACCCTCCCCTCGGGACGAAAAATAAATATATGTTGGATATACAAGACTGTTTAGTTTAAGCATTATTATTTAGTTCATTTAGTGATCTAATATTTAATGATTATTTAGTTTTAATAACAATAGTGTTAAAAGTAATAATTTTAAAGGCGATAGTTACGACCAATTTCGTTACGGAACTCGGTAAGAGCCATACTGTGTGTGTGTAGTACAATTGTTGTAATTTGATGTCACATTACTCGAACCTTCTGTATTTTGCACATTGCCTTAAGTGAGTATTATTACATCATAGCATCTCGTAGTTCATAGAAAGTTCTAGGCCACACTTGTATGTACATATGTATATATAGGTGACCAAGTGAGCATAAGTTAAGTTCAGTCAGAAAAAAGTTACTTAGTGTAAGAAAATGTGCAGTTAGCCGGCTTGTGAGTGATTAACCTTAACTGGTGATTTCTAAAGTGGGTTTGACAGCTGTACTGTAACAACAGAGACAAGAAAAATAAGTTGTCTTGTCAATTCAGTTCTAAAGTAACTAATTCAGCCTGTGTGGACTTTTGACAAAAACAAAAGACAAACAATTATTAAAAGCTCTGGATACAAGTGTGGTAACCAACAAAAGAAGTAAAGTTAGAAACAGTTAAGTTAATGAAAGTGAAGTTAGACTGTGTGATTGTTAGTTTAGCCATAATGTGAGTTTAACAGAGATAAGTAGAATAATTTGTCTTGTCAAAGGGTGTTCTAAAGTAATTGAACCCGCCTGTGTGGACTTTGATAAAAAGAAGACAATTATTTAAAGTTCTAAATACAGTTGTGGTAACCCATGGAGTAACATAAGTGAGTTTATTTCAAATTGTGTAGTAAGAAACAGAGTAAAGAAAAATAATTTGTCTTGTCAATTTGGTTCTAAAGTAACTGAACCAGCCTGTGTAGACTTTTGACAAGAAAGATATAATTATTTAGTTTTATATACAACTGTGATATCCAATAGTGCAAAGAATTTTTGTACATACGTTCGACTTGTTTAGAATATTTTATTTTAAAACAAGTGGATTGTGTGCTGTCCATTTATTGTTCGAATTTATCCCCAACAAGTCACAGACACCTACTGTAAAATAATCCTAGCCGTTACATATATAGAAACCTCACAATAAGTAATCACTCAAGTTGATAGTACCTGTGTATAAAGTAACTGCTTACTTTTTTATATAATGCCAAAATGTTCACATAATGTAAAAGAAAAAAAAATTACACTATCAGCTTATCTAAATTATAACTTCTTATCTTTATTCTCCTAACATACCAAACAATTTTGAAGACCACAAAGTGGTATGGATTATAAATTTTGAAACTGGTTATTCCCAATAATCATAAAGCTAAAACTGTCACTTCTTTGGAAGGTTAAAAATTTGCTAAATTTGTCTATGAAGCAAAGAGTTCCAATGAATCTCAAAGTGTGAAGCTCATCTCCCCTTGGGGGGGGGGGGGGGAGGGGGCGGGG